TTCTTTCAATCTTGAAATCGCCTATTTTTATTGATGATTATTCACGTTTAACTTGGGTTTATATTCTTAAAGATAGATCTAAGTGTTCTCTGTTTTTCAATCCTTTTATGCTGAAATTCAAAATCAATCTGATGCAAAATTACTTGTTCTTAGAACTGACAATGCCATTGAATATAAAGTTAATATTTTTCAAAAATTTTTTGAGTTGAGGGGCATTATCCATCAAACATCTTGTGTTGATATTCCTCAACAAAATGGAATTGTTGAACAGAAGAACGGACCAATCCTAACTATAGCTCGTGCTTTAATAATTCAAATGTATGTTACAAAACATTTTTGAGCAGATGCAGTTCTAGTTGCTGCTTATCTTGTAAACCGCATGCCTTCTAGGGTCCTTCAAGGAAAATCACCCTTCCCAATGATGTTGTCTGATAAAGACCATTTTTCCATTCCTCCAAAAGTGTTTGGGTGTGTCTGCTTTGCTCATAATTTAAGTCCGGGACGAGACAAACTTGATCCTCGTGCCCACAAATGTATTTTCTTAGGTTATTCTCGCACTCAAAAGGGATATAAATGTTATAGTTCAACTATTCGTAAACAATTTGTGTGCGCGGATGTAACTTTCTTTGAGGATGTCCTTTATTATTCCCAAGAAGACAGTCGTTTAGAGGACTTTGTTCTTCAAGAGTCTATTCTTCCAACTCCAATTTTTGATTTTGACATCCCACCAGCTCTTCGTGTCTATGCTTGTCGCCGGAAAAGAGTAGTTAATCATGTTCCAACAACTAATGTAGTAAACCCAGCCTTGCCACTTCCACTAGTCGCTTCAACGCCTGGAGATTCTTCCGTCTCTTGACTCTAATCTTGATCACCTATTGTTGTTCGGAAAGGTAAAAGGTCTTATACCAATCACCCTATCTCTAATTTTGTATCATATAATAAATTATCCTCTTCCTTTCAAGCTTTTTCTTTGTCGTTATCCTCTATTGCTCTTCCTAAGTCCTACATGGAGGCACTTTCTCATCCAAGGTGGAGGAAAGCCATGGAAGAAGAAATAAACGCTTTAAAATTGAATCATACTTGGGACCTTGTTCCTAAGCCTGCTGATACTCAGGTTCTTGGTTGTCGTTGGGTTTTCACTGTTAAACGGAAGCTTGGTGGTACTGTTGACTGTCTCAAAGCTCGACTTGTTGCTAAAGGCTACACTCAGACTTGTGGCCTTGATTATACTGAGACGTTCTCTCCTGTGGCCAAACTGAATTCGGTTCGTGTGATAATCTCTCTTGTAGCTAATCTAGACTAGCCACTTCATCAACTTGATGTTAAAAATGTCTTTCTGCACGGTGACCTTACTGAGACAGTCTATATGGCTCAAGCCAGGCTGATCACTCTCTCTTTTTCAAGAAAACGAACCATGGTATTGTGATTCTTGTGGTATATGTAGATGATATTGTTATCACCGGCACTGACAGAGATGGAATACAAGTTTTAATTCATCACTTGAGTTCTAACTTCCTTACTAAGGATTTGGGCAAACTTCGATATTTTCTAGGAATTGAGGTGGCTCGGTCGAAGTAAGGTATTAGTCTCTCTCAGCGGAAGTATACTCTTGACCTCTTACAAGATACTGGATATCTTGCTACACCCATGGAGACTAATGTAAAACTTATGGTGGATGATGTTGACCCTTCTCGATGATCCAGAAATGTATCGAAGACTTGTTGGTAAACTTATTTACCTCACAATCACTCGTCCAGACATTTCTTATGCAGTCAGTGTTGCGAGCCAGTTCATGACTAGTCCTCGGGTACCCCACATGAAGGCCGTTGTATGCATCTTGAAGTACCTCATGGGTGCTCCAGGATGTGGTATGCTTTATCAATCTTATGGACATTTTCGGATGAGGGATACACAGATGCAGATTGGCCCGATTCTCCTTCTCATTGACGGTCCATCACAGGTTACTGCACCTTCATAGGAGGAAATCTGGTAACTTAGAGGAGTAAGAAACAGTCAGTCATGGCTCGTTCCAGTGCTGAAGCAGCGTATTGTGGCGCACACTACCTGTGAACTTACTAGGTTGAAGACTCTTTTACAGGAACTTGGGATTTCAGTCCAATACCCAATTCCTCTCCATTGTGACAATCGGGCAGCTATTCATATTGCTAGCAATCCAATCTACCATGAGAGGATTAAACACATTGAAGTAGATTGTCATTTCATTCGATCTAAAGTTGACTTGAATGAGATTGTTACACCTTTTGTTCCTTCTGGCAGACATTTTCACTAAGGCGCTTCCCAAGAACTTTATTAATTCCATATGTAGCAAGCTGGGAGTTAGGAGTTATTGACATTTACTCTCCAGCTTGAGGGAGAGTGTTGTACAGTATTGTATGAGTTGTCACATGTATACAATTAGATTACATTGTATACTTACTAGTATGTTTTGTATTCTGTAGCCGCCTTCACCTACCCCTCATTACCATATAAAGCATTACCATGTATAGGATTTTACTAGTATGTTCTGTATTCTGTAGCCGCCTTCACCTACCCCTCATTACCATACATAGCATTACCATGTATAGGGTTTACTTGTTCTCCACTCACCTACTCCTGTAACTTCTCCTATATAAACACCATTGTATTATTATATTACTTACTCAATAAGGTACGTTTTCATAAATTCTCTCTCTCAACTATTTATAACTGCAAACATGTCACCTTCAAAATTGGCAGAACTGACTGCAAGCTTAACCATTTTAAGCCCTTGAATTTCACTTTTTCTCACAAACTCATCTCTACCACTCAAGCCATTGCTCTCTTTCTTTATTCTCTAAATCTCTATCCAAAACAAAAGACAAAGAGAAAGATATACATAAATCTTTTTTCTATCCATTTCTCTCTACCTAAGCAAGTATCCAAGCAACCCTAATTCCCTTTTTCTTTCCCCACTTATCTTGCTCTTTTTGCGAAGTAGAAATTTACTTCGGAAAAGGAAAAAGAAAGGAGCAAGGTTTTGTTAGAAGCATCATAATTAGTTGAGGATTGTTAGGATTAAAAGTGAGGTAATTTCATAACAAAATTGGAGTCCGTTACTTTTGTTTTATTTTCAAAAGTTAGTTTAGTCATTTTTTTAGTGGTGGTACCTACATCCAAGGGCAGATCCAGAATTTGAAGATACATGAAAAGGCAAAAAGGTAAAATCACTTTTTGATTCATGATCATGCAGTTTTATCTTGATTCATATTAGGGCACAACGCATACATGTTATGATTCATGATAAAAGAGATTCTTAATGCATTATGTTTTGGAATAAATATATTCAAATAAGGGAAAAAAGGGCTAGCCCAGTGCATGAGGCTCCCGCCATTGCAGGGTCTGGAGAGGATCAGCCTTACTTCCGCATGGAAAGACTGTTTCCGGTTTCAAACCCGTGACCTTCGGGTTACAATGGAGCAACCTTTCCATTGCGCCACAGCCTGCCCTCATATTCTTCTAATTCATTATTTTTATTATTTGAATTCTGATGAATTAATTTTGTCCTTCTAAATAGCAATTTGATAGGCTGCATTCTAATTATATTTGTATGAAATATATAAATTGAATTCTATGAAATTAAATGTGTAAATATGTCTTTTTCCTCTTTTCTTTTTTTCTCACTATTTTTCTGATTTATTGCATGGAGATTGCTTTTTTGAGGTGAAAAACTGGATATTAGGTTGTCCTGAGAAGAACCATAAATTATCTTGTTGATTAATGAATCCGCTCTTCCACTTCCACATAATAACCTGTTGATTAATTTCATGTAGTTGCATCAAAATTGATTCATGATTATTCGTCTTACTTTTTATTCAATGTTGAATAACAAACAGATGACATGGAGATTTAGAAAAACAAGAAAAATATAATCTAAAAATGATAGTTGTTCCTTCGTTTTTGAATTTGGATTCAATTCAATTAAATTAGTTTAAACCGAGAAAAAATTACAATTGATTCGCGTGGAGAATTTGTTTCTCCATGAAAGTGTCGGCACCAAATGAAAGTGTGAGAAATGAACGTTTATTTGTCCAGCACTGAACTTCTTGAGTTTGCTTTATTCATCCCATGATTGGCTAAGTTTTCATTGCAAGATTTTACCATGTATTTACATCTGTGATAAACAATCTGATTCCGCCGGTGTCTTCGATCTTTGTGGAAAATTTATGAGTGAAATTACTTTTAGTCTTTCCTTCATTCTCCTCACTCACTCTTCCACTTCTATCCTCCCCATCTCTGGCCCACTCTCCATTGATATTTGCACTGACATCGAATAAAAATCATGTTAATCCAATAAGACATCTAATTCTATTATTATTATTATTATATTTATTTTTGGGTATAGTTCTAATTTTTTAATCTAAGTTTGAGCCTGTGAAAACCACTATCTTGTGAAAATTTAGTTGACCTCCCTGAGTTTTGTAACCGTGTTTTTCTATTTCTCTGCCAGAAACATTGATATATAAACATGTTTCCTGTAAATCATCATAAGTTGAAGATGTTTACTCGATAGTGAGCCAGAAGAAGTCTATTCCTGTTGCTTAGTTTCTTTTCTGTTTCTTGCTTATAATGTTTGCCTTCATCTCTTTTCTTACAATCATATTATAATTTTGATATATATATATATATATTTTGGGTGTAATTACTGGACCTGGTTTTCAAAGGCTCTCATACCTTCTCCATTTCTTTACTTTTTTTGGTTTAGGCTGAGTCGTAGTACGAAGCATTTTGGATTTTATCATTTTTGTAACTAAAGGGGAAAAAAATTCAAATTACTATTGTTCAAACTGCCCATGATTTCACACAGTTTAGTAATGTATATGAAATTAATCTTACCCTTTCCTGAAGAGATTTCTTTGAATTTTTTTTTTTTTTCCTTTCTAATTTTTCCTACGTTCTTCATTTTGACTAAAACTATGACCAATTTATCATGTTGCTTGTGTGGGTGCTTACTTGATCCATAGGTGAGATGGCCTTGCTGGTTGAAGGTCTTGCAGTTGGCGGTGAAACATCTATAGAAGAGTACATAATAGGCCAAGCCGACGAACTTACTGGTGATCAGGAACTAACTGCTGAGAAAGACCACATCAAATTGTATGGGCCAGAAGAGGGTCTCTCCTGGATTGCCAAACCTGTCACTGGACAGAGCAGTCTTGGCCTTGTCTCCAGACATGGAAGCATGGTAAACCAGAGCGTGCCTCTTATGGATCCTCTTGTGACTCTTTTTGGCAGTGTCCATGAAAAACTCCCGGAGACAGGAAGTATGCGAAGCATGCTATTTCCCAATTTTGGCAGCATGTTCAGTACAGCAGAGCCTCATGTTAAAAATGAACAGTGGGATGAAGAGAGCCTGCAGAGGGAAGGTGAGGGTTATGCATCAGACACTGGCGGGGCAGACTCTGATGACAATTTGCATAGCCCATTAATATCACGTCAAACAACAAGCATGGAAAAGGACATGGTCCCTCCTCCTTCCCATGGCAGCGTTCTAAGCATGCGACGCCATAGCAGTCTCACGCAAGGGAATGCTGGAGAAGCAGTTAGTAGTACAGGCATCGGTGGTGGTTGGCAGTTGGCATGGAAGTGGTCTGAGAGGGAAGGTGAAGATGGAAAGAAGGAAGGAGGATTTAAAAGGATTTACTTGCATGAGGGAGTCCCTGGTTCCAGGCGTGGGTCTCTTGTTTCTCTTCCTGGTGGTGATGCTCCCGAGGAAGGTGAGTTTATCCAGGCTGCTGCTCTGGTAAGCCAACCTGCTCTTTATTCCAAGGAACTTATGGATCAGCATCCAGTTGGACCGGCAATGGTTCACCCATCTGAGACTGCTTCAAAAGGTCCAATTTGGGCTGCTCTTCTTGAACCAGGAGTCAAGCGTGCATTATTTGTTGGGGTTGGAATTCAATTACTTCAGCAGGTAGGATATCCTTTCTTTCAATAACTTCTCTTGCTCTATGTTTGAAATTTCAAATAAAAATGAAAGTAGGCGAATCAGTTTGACCTATTCCAATCCATGCATGTGGGTTGGTTTAGTTTTCTTCCTTTTCCTTTTGGAGATCTCTTCTTTATCTTGTCTTTGCATGATCTTAGTTTGTGTCTTTAGATTTTAGTTGATTACAATTTCTTGATATGTTAAATAAATTCTAGTTTTAAATCACACGTTCTTGAGACGCTTCCCATACTCATCCTGACATCTCATTTATTTATTGACCTTATTGGATATTTACCATTTCCCCAGTTAATCCCTTCAGGTAACTATGAGTGACTTAGTTTTTCTTTTCCTTTATTGTTCTTTTGTTAGATATATATATATAAATATATATGAACATCTAATCTACCTCTAACACCTCACCACCATTAAAACTGTTGACTGAACTCCCTACTCAAATTGGAGGCCTCGTCGGACGTGTACAACATACCACTGGGCTAGAAGGCTGTTGATAAGTGAAGTCTAATTAATAGTTCAGCTTGCAGCAAGCAATCTGAAGGTTTTATGGATATTGTTAAAATAAGAAATAGTATTAAAGGAGAGGATAGAAGGCTAAGCCTTTGTATATCATTAACACAAACAAACTGTACAATAGAGGGTTATTTATAGGAGAGGGTTAGGGGTTGGTGAGAGCTATACAAGGAAACTGGGTTGGTGAGTGCTATACAAGTAATCTGGATTGGTGAGAGCTATACAAAACAACTGGGTCGGTGAGTGTTATACAAATTATCTAGGTTGGTGAGTGCTATACAAGTAATCTAGGTTGGCAACTGCTATACAAGTAAACCAGAGTATTAATATTACATTAACATCCCCACTCAAACTCAAGGTGGAAGAGCAGATACCGACCTGAATTTGGAAACTAAGTCATGAAAACATCCAGGTGGATGTGTTTTGGTGAAGATATCAGCAGTCTAAGCAGCAGAGTTGACAGAAACTAGTCAAAGAGTACTCTGAAGCAGATGATGAAGCACAAAATGACAATCAAGCTCAATGTGTTTAGTGCGCTCATGAAAACATCATTATAAGCAATCCGGATGGCACGTCACAATAAAGAGTGGTTGCAAAATAATTTGTAGTGGTTACAAAAGAATTTGTAACACCCATGTCCTCTAACAACCAACGTAACCAAAGAAGCTCAGATGTGGTGTGGACAAGCGCTCGGAATTCAGCCTCATTACTAGATCTAGCAGAAACTGTTTGCTCTTCCATGAAGTGGTGTACCGTCTAAGGGAGTAAGTAGTAGATTAGGTTCAAGAGGAGTAGATGCAATCTTGCTATCAGTCAAGCTAGCGCGAGATAAGAGATCAGTAACATACTTAGCCTGAGAGAGATAGTAACCATTAGGAGCAAAGGAGACTAAAAGACCCAGAAAATAACTGAGAGAGCCAAGATCTTTCATCTCAAAGTGCTGGCTAAGAAACTACTTAAGATCTAAGATTCCGTAGAAATCATCTCATGTGATAATCACGTCTTTCACATAAAGTAGTAGAAGACAAATCCCTTCGTTAGAATTAAAAATGAAAAGAGCTGAGTCATGAAAGCTCGAAGTAAAGCCATAATGACCAATAGTAGTATTGAACTTAGCAAAACAAGCTCGAGGTGCTTGTTTGAGACCATACAAAGCACAATGGAGTTTACAAAGTTGTTGTGGAGAATGAGGAAAGCCAGGGGAAGGCTGCATGTAAACCTTCTCTTGTAGATCAACATTGAGAAATGCATTTTTGACGTCCATCTGAAATAGCTCCTATTTTACGGACAACAGCAATTGCTAGTAAACTTCGTATAGTGGTAAGACAAGTAACAAGAGCAAATGTCTCCTTATAATCAATACCATTTTACGAGGCGATTCAGGATGGGTCCAGAGTCTGTTCAGCGGACGGATATCTCCCATTTGCTGTTTGCAGATGATACCTTGGTAATCTGTGATGCAGATGTGTCCCAATTGAGATATTTGAGATGTGTTCTGGTCTGTTTTCAAGCAATATCAAGTTTGAAAGTTAATGTGGGAAAGTGTGTGCTTGTCCCTGTGAGGGAGGTTCAGGAGGTGGCTTCTCTTACTGCGATTCTAGGGTGTGGGATGAGTTCCTTCCTTATTTCCTATCTGGGTTTGCCTTTGAGTGCTTTGTTGAGGAGGGTGGGAGGTTGGGATCTAGTGAGCGTTTTGAGATAAGATTGGCTTGGGTAGAAGCAGCAGTATATTTATAAGGGTTGGAAGGTTACTCTTGTGAAGGGTACGTTGTCGAATCTTCCAACATATTTTCTTTCTCTCTTTTAGATTCCTTTCTCTATTGTTGAAAGACACAAGAGTCTCCAACGGAATGTCCTCTGGGGCGGTCGGGGGGAGGAGTTTAAGTATCATCTTATCCGGTGGGAGCAAGTTTGTAGCCTCTTCAATTGGGTGGTCTTGGTTTTAGGAGGTTGGTCCCCTTCAACAGGGCGCTTCTTAGTACGTGGTTGTGGAGATTCGGTAGCGAAATGCATCGGTTATGAAGGAGGGTTATTTCGTGCCGCTTTGGGGAGGAAAGAAGGGGATGGTCCTCTGGGCCGATCAGATATGCTGGTGGCGTGGGGATGTGGAAATACATTCGGAAGGGCTTGGATGAGTTCTCTAAGCACATTAGATTCAGAGCTAGGGAGGGTAGGTATGTCCGGTTCTGGGAGGATCCTTGGTGTCGAGATTGCCTGTTGTCTTGTTTGTTCCCAAGATTTTTTAGGATAGTTGTTAATAGACATGCTATAGTAGCAGACTGTTATTGGCTTGATAGCGTTAGGCTTACGTGGGGCGTGCGATTTCAACGCTCCTTTCAGGATTGGGAACTGGACGATGTTTCTGGTCTACTGGATCTTTTGTATAAAGAGGAGGTCGATGGTAAAGGCTCTAATTCCTTATTTTGGGTGCCTTCTCCTTAGGGGAGGTTTGAGGTATGTTCTTTGTTCCTCTGCCTTTCTGGGTTTCATGGTTCCAATTTCCCATGGAAGACGGTTTGGCGCTCGAAGGCTCCTCTTAAAGTGGCCTTTTTTGTTTAGACTGTGGTTTGGGGCAAAATTTTGACCTTGGATAATCTGAGAAAGAGAAGACAGATCACAGTCAAACTGGTGTTGTGTGTGTAAAAATGATGGAAAGTACGTGGATCACCTTCTTTTGCATTTTCCCGTGGCTCATGACTGCTGGAATCTTATCTTTGGTTTGTTCGCCGTCCATTGGGTTATGCCTCGGTCTTCGAGGGATTTGATTAACGATTGGAGAGGCTACAGTGTGGGGGCCCACGCCCGTGATTTTTGGAGGGGACACCCCTTTGTGTTTGGTGATCCATTTGGAAGGAGCGGAATAGAAGATCTTTTGATGGGGAGGAATCTTCCATTGGGGCGCTGAAATTTTCAATTATTAGTTTTCTTTTTAATTGGGTGAAGGGAAGAAATTGTATATCTTTAGATGAAATGGTGGATTTTTTGGGTTCTTTGGGTCCCAAGGACCCTCTCTTTGGCTTCGGCCCTTGTATAGCTTTCGGGATGCATTTCCCTTTTGAATGCTTTCTAATATACCTTTCTTTATAAAAAAAATAAAAAAAAAAAAATCAATACCATACTCTTGTGTAAACCCTTTGGCAACAAGACGAGCCTATAGACCCATCAGAACAAGTTTTGATCTTGTATACCCATTTATACCCTATAGTCATCTTGCCTGGAGATAGATTAACCATATCTCAAGTATGAGTCTTCTCCAAAGCCTGTAGTTCTTCAGTCATAGCTTGTTACCACATAGGGCTGATAGATTAACCATATCTCAAGTATGAGTCTTCTCCAAAGCCTGTAGTTCTTCAGTCATAGCTTGTTACCACATAGGGCTAGACTGAGCCTCACAATAAATTTGAAGGTCATGCAAAGAACCAATGGAAATCTCGAATACGGATAGAAGGTTCTCTCACCCATGTGGAACGGATCCACATAAGAAGTGGGAGACTCAGAATTGTTAAGAGAAGATGAAGACTCGGTCTGTGATAGGACTTGTAGGCGGAGCAGATTTCGGAGGACAGGCCGAGGGGCTGTCAGAAAAAAACTCACCGGAAGTACTTGCAATCGAGTCACTAGGAAACAACCCAATATAAGGGTCGGTAAAGAATGGAAGACTGGGGCAGCAGAGAGATGAAATGGGGTAAAGAAGAGACAATTATGTGTTCCCAGAAGACATGGCGAGCTATCCTGAGGCAATTGGAAAGAGGGTCCCAACAAAGATACCCTTTTATGTCAAATTTCCATACCCAAGAAAATAACATAATCGTGCACAGGGTTTTTGAAGATCCATTTCTCGATATTTCATGTCATTGCCAGTACGGAGAATTCTAATGGTTTTTGAAAACTGAGTTTTAATCGTATTGGCAAAAGTAACATAAAGTTGTGGAAACCCAGATCTTGCAGACATGAAATATATCCAACTAAAGCGGGAATAATCATTACTAAAGAGAACAAAATACTTTAAACCACTCATGGTGGGAGTTGGTGAAGGACCCAATGAATTAAACCAAAAGGTGTAAATGAAACAGACTCACTTTTATTGAAAGGTAAAGCATGTTGTTTAGCAAGTTGACATGGTAAGCAATTAACACTTATCACTAATAGATCCTAACCAACCCTCAGAAATTAAGGAAAAGTCGGGTAATCGAAGCACGACCCAGGCGAGAATGCCACAAAGAAAGAGAAGAGTTGAATGAGATGGATGTAGCAGACTGAAAAGGTTAAGTGGGACCAGATGTAGCATGGAGTGAGGTGAGCTCAAACAATCTTCCAGCCTTACGGCCTGTCCCAAGGATGTGTCTCATCCGCTCCTGCACAAAACAACCAGTAGCAGAAAAGTGCATATCTAGAACGAGTTCACACAATTGACCAATAGATATGATTGAGAGTAAGGTAGGAATACCATAAGGAAGTGATAATGTAGAAGTAGAAATATGCCCTATGTGACTGACATTCATGTGTGATCCATTAGCAGTATGAACAGTAGGAGTGTGAGACTAACTGGTATGCATTGGTTGAGCAACCTCAGTTTTGTCCATAGTAAGCAGTAAATGACCTCAAGCTAGAAGATATAAAGGAGAATAAACTAGTGGCAAAGATTCGATGGAAGTGACTGGCTGCAATGATAGTCACGATGGCGCTAGTCTGCAGTGGTGAAAAAGATAACCACAATGGAGAGTCACAAAATAATAAATGGTGGTGACTTTGATACCATGTTAAAAGAACAAATAGTATTAAAGAAGAGGAGAAAAGCCTAAGCCTCTGTATATCATTAACACGCTTACAAACTGTACAATAGAGGCTTATTTATAGGGGAGGGTTAGGGTTGGTGAGAGCTATACAAGGCAGCTGGACTGGTGAATGCTATGCAAGTAATCTAGAATTTTAATATTACATTAATAGATAATCCATTTCTTGTGATTGACTTTTGGATATGAGCTCCTTTGCTGAACCCACCAGATGCTGATCCTAACGTCTAAAGTTTCTGTCAACTGGCTATTATTTCAGTGTTTCGAAATCTTTTACTACTGCTACTGAATTTATCCATTTGTATATTTGTGCCAGACAACTTCATAAAATAATGAATTTCACAGAAATAATTGGAAAGAAGTTCGGTTTGGAGTTTATTAATTATTGAATGCATAAGCTTCATCCTTGGTTGTGTTTCTGCTTTCTTACATCTTGTGTGTTTCCTTAATGTGGGTGCAGTTTTCTGGCATAAATGGGGTTTTGTACTACACTCCTCAAATTCTCGAGGAGGCGGGCGTTGAAGTTCTTCTAACCAATCTCGGCCTTGGTACAGAGTCTGCGTCTTTCCTTATTAGTGCATTCACAACCCTTTTGATGCTTCCTTGTATAGCTGTTGCCATGAGGCTTATGGATGTCTCTGGCAGGAGGTAATTTCTTCTCTTTCTTTGTCTTTTTTCCACTTCTAATTCCTTAATGAGGTACACTTTTGTTATTTTTAATTTTTGGTTTACATTTTTTATTACACATCCCTTGTTGCAGGACGCTGCTGCTCACAACGATTCCTGTCTTGATAGTGTCACTTGTTATCCTAATCATTGCCAATTTCTTAACCCTTAGCACAGTTGTTCATGCAATAATCTCAACCATCTGTGTGGTGGTGTACTTCTGCGTCTTTGTCATGGGCTATGGACCAATTCCGAATATCCTCTGCTCAGAGATATTCCCTACTCGGGTTCGTGGCCTCTGCATTGCCATCTGTGCCCTAGTTTACTGGATTGGAGACATCATTGTTACCTACACGTTGCCTGTGTTGCTAAGTTCAATTGGCCTAGCCGGTATCTTTGGCATTTATGCTGTTGTGTGTGTCATCTCTTGGGTCTTTGTCTTCTTGAAGGTTCCCGAAACCAAGGCCATGCCGCTTGAAGTTATTATAGAGTTCTTTGCTGTTGGTGCAAGGCAGGCTGTTGCTGCCAAGAATGAGTAATTTTTGGGAGATTAGAAATACACCAGTTCTTCCATGATTTTAGCAGTTAAAGATTACATTCATCTTCCCTCTGAGGAGCTTTTGTGCATCGTGATTGCATGCATAGAGAGCATGTCATATTTTACAACTTGAAAAAATTTTCAGCCATCTGTTTAATGATATGGCAAAGTTTGAATTAGTACATTCCATTTAATTGATGAGTGCAGATCTCAGGTTTCATGTTAGTTTTATGATTCAGAAAGCCTTCGCAAATGAAAATTTGCAGGGAAGCATTTATTCAGCATCAAGCACACCAACAGAAAAAAAAAAAAAAAAAAAAAAAAAAAACTGCATTTTATTGTATGAATGGACTAGCATATCAATCCTAGTCACTTTAAGTTTCTCCCAAATTTCTTTAGCCATCTTACAAGATGAGATTCTTGTCAAATTCATCTGTCAGTGAAAGCATTATAAATGTTAGACATGGCATTGTCATTGGATGCATCATGTTTGAAATCAGCAACGGTCCATTCCTTTTTCTCCTTGGGAGCTGGATCTATCTGTTTCTCCGGGAATTTTTGGAGAGGAAGAGAAGGAGAGGGAGATAAACATGTCATTCTATTTTTTTACCATTCGCCTCAAGATATAAGTGGAATTTTCGGCACTTAAAATTCAATGCTTAAAATTTTCAGTAATTTTTATTTATTTATTTATCGGGAAGTTTTCAACTTTCAAAAAAATCTTCAGTTTATCAAACAATATATATATATATATATGGTTTTACAATAGTTTACAAATTCATAGCATGCCACCAGTTCAAGTATATGTAAGAGTAATTTATAGATCACAAAACACTACTACACATAAATACATTCATAATCCAACAAAATAATCCTTTTTCAGAATGAATGAAGAGAGGAGTTATTATTACATCCGCCATATGCTCAACAACGGTCACAATATGCGGAAACTTGTAAATTACGTTTCAGCAAATTCAAAACTACTTGACCATTTGACCTGTTAATTTTATTATTATTATTATTTTATTTATATTTATATTTATTAGTAGTTCACAGTTACATTACACTTAACTTTCAATTAGCACTTCAAGACCGTAGCATAAAACGTATTTTTTGGGCATCGTAGCTCAATTCAGTAAATAACTTGCATGCACTTCTACAAACCAACCACTTCCATTTGCCAAATGTATTGAAGTTCTACTAAAGTCAATATCTTAATGGTACTAAAGTCCGTATTTATTTAAGATCTTCCGAAAGAATTACTGGCAAATAAGGGAAAAAGTCAATTTCTTAGCAACCTAGAATCCTGCCTAATTTTCAAGAATGTTTTTCTTTTATTCTCAAGGAGGAAAGGTATCAGCTAACATTCATGTGGCCGACCCTATATATAGATGACGCCAGACAATTTATAGGGGATTAAGGGAAGGATGGTGACGAGGATGTTGGAAGGTTTAGCTGACATTCAAGTGGCCGACCACAAGGAATCAGCCCGACTTCATTTATAGATGGCCGACCCCTCTATACGATTCAGGCCGGATGACGATGATGAAGATATTTTGCTATGTTAATTGTCTTATTTATTTTCCTGTATACCAAAGCCGAGACTTCCCTCGCTCGCTTGCCAATTTAGGGCGTCTGAAGGACAACCAAATCATTTGGACGTCACAATAGAAAATCACCCAGTTAGTATGTACATTGAATTAGTTGGAGAAACAATTTTGTAAAAGTTACATCTACTGTAACATAAAAAAAATTAAAAAAAAAAACGTTTAAGTATTAAAGTCGGATAATCAGGATGTTCCTCAAACAAATCACAACAAAATTCTGGCCCAAGCATTACTCAACAAATGTTACCAAGGTGGTTGAATCACTTAGGAACTTACTAAATTTATCCACTACTTAGATCTCATCAATGACTTCAAGAAGATCATCAACCTCTTGCCTCAGAACTGTAATTTTCTGCTGGATCGAAGCAACCCGGTTCTCAATTTCCCGCCCCCCAGATTTTTTCTCGTAACTGTCCACCACTGCAGAGTGTTTTAACATCAGCCTCTCTTGAAGTTCTCTCTCCTTTGCAACCAGCTCCTCTACCTGGACACAGCCAATAAGCATTCAACAGTGCAATATGGAAAATTAACCAATCTATTTAACATTATAATCAGGAATAAATATTAGAAGGAAGAAAGATGTACAATATGTATAAAATAAGAATCCTTGGCAACCAGCTACTCTACCTGGACACAGCCAATAAGCATTCAATGGCGCAACATGGAAAATTCACCAATTTATTTATCATTTTAAGCATAATTATTTCCATCAAGAATAAATATTATAATAAGAATCATGTAGGAGTCAAAGATCTGGGTAAATTGTATTGTTCTGACATCTCCATGTGTTGGGGCAAAAACAGCATCTCAGTATGAAAGGTTAAAATAGTTTCTTAAAATAATAACAACAATTAAAGAAGTTAGATATAAAAGCGCTTTGAACCAAACCAATCTTTTAAAGCTATGCTCATCCATCACTTAAGGTATATGGCTGCGCAAAGTTTCATACTTGAGACATATCAGTATGTAATAGTAGCAGCAGCAGCAGCAGCTCACATTTAAGCCATACTATTACATGATAAAATACTAATACCTCAACAGTTGGATTCCCATCACTCTCATAGTAGTAGGAGGAGGCTGCGGTGGCAACAGCAGCTCATATATTTAAGCTATACCATTACATAATAATAAGGGTAAATTACACCGACCTCCCCCGAGGTTTGGACAAATTACACTCAGATGGACCGTTCAGCCTTTATTACTTTGACCTCCCTAGCCGCCAGCAAGAAGTTTAATTTGAGTGCAAAAAGTCAATAATGCCCTTATATAATAATAATATATTATATCATAAATATTTAATAATATTAAAAAATGAATTTAAATATGAAAACCAAAGAGTCAAAATTGTCTTTGTATTACTATAATACAGCAATATATTACAACTCTCTCCCTCTACCATGGAGACTCGAAAAGAACAATCACAGCGCACTCTACCATGGAGACCACACAATAGCATCCCCACAATCTGACGACCCATAGCCACCTCTCCACAACCACCCTCAGATCCGCCGGCCACACCCACCTTTCCACAATCTTCATCTCTCTCTAATGGAGATGCCAGTGACCCATATACAAAGAAAGATTTAAGGGGTTTTGGTCGCAGGCGCCCAAGGCCATCAAGTCACAGCGCCGATGCTGGAAGGTGCCGGAATCTAGCTTCTGCTGCTCAGCGAGTAAAATAGACTGCCAATTCTCTCTCTCTCAACCTTCTCCCATCACCGTCGCCACCGTCACGGCAACCCTGGCTATCTCTCTCTCCTCTCCTCTCCTCTCTATTTCTCTCTCATCTCTATTTCTCTCCTCTCTCAAGGTCAGTATTCAATTATTATGACCCAAACCCTAGACCCGCAACTTTTCAGACCTCAAATTGCCCAAAATTAATCCTTCTCTCAGCGTCCTCTCCTCACCATATTTCTCTGTCATCTCTCCTTTCCCTATCAACGATCATATGTTTGTGTGTGTGTGTGTATATATTTATTTAAGTTTTACATATGTGTATATATATGAGATAAACTATCCCTTTCATTAATAAAGAAAATTTTGTATATAGGGATTGTGGTGATGGGAGTTCATTATGGCAGTGGGTGGAGTTGGTTAGATTCAAAGTTTGGGAAGGAGATCTTGGATTTTAGGGTATGGAATTTTAGAGAGAAAGAAATGTAAGAATGGGGATTTTTCAAGATTTGTAAATTGATTTTTTTTAAAAAATTAATTAGCACAAAACTGAAAATTTATTAGCTTCCCAGATGGAAGAAATGATATATATATATATATATATAGAGAGAGAGAGAGAGAGAGAGATCTTTAAGAGCCTGCAATGTATTGATCCATACACGCAAATATGTGGAAAGGCTCGGCGATGAGCCTATGTTCTTGGTTCTTGCTCAAAAGATATACAGGAATATCTAGAACAAGTTGAGGATTACAAGGCAGCTTCAAGGAAGCAATAAGGGAAGGGCAAAATTGTCTATATTCTCTTGAACCTTTTTTTTTTTTTCATTACAATACATGAGGTTATTATTATCTTTTTATACAAGGGTAAATTTGTCATTTTATAAAATTTAGTTAACAAATCTGCTGAAAAAAAATATATTGGGGGTGTGATTGAACACATGCTCCAAATCTCAGGGGAGGTCAAAGTAATAATGGTGGAATGGTCCATCTAAGTGTAATTTGCCCAAACGTCAGGGGAGGTGATGTACAACCGCTCGCTCACAATTATTTGAGCATACAGGATAATCGCAAATCGGAGAGGCTCAAAAGGTAAGAAGAATAGAAGGAAAAAAATAAATAAGGAAAAGTCAAAAGGAAATTTGGTGTGGTTGCCAACAATAGAAGATATTATTCTCCATCGCAAGAATTAAGAAGGATTAAAAAAATAAATAAGAAAATTTGGCGTAGTTGCCAACAATAGAATATATTCTCCATTGCAAGATTTTAAGGAGGATTCTGCTCCATCAGATCTCAGATTTCCCTTTTAATATTATTTCACGCATGTTTTCTTTTTTTTTTTTACTTGCCTATATAAAGGCTAGAGATGTAAGTTTGCAAACATCATTATTATCAATATAATTTCAGTTTCTCTCTTGTGATTGTGTTCTTTGTGAATTCAAAACCTGATCTTTATCTACGTTAGTTGGTATCAGAGCAAGGTTCCAACTCCAAGATTCGCCTTTGTTTTCGATGGCCGGTTCACGAGATGGAAGCAACCCCTCCAACAACGGTGATTGTGATGGAGTAGCTCTTTTGAGGGCTGAGTTTATTGAGTTCCTGGTCAACATTAATCGAACCTTACTTGATATGCATGAAACTATGCGTCAAGTATTGGCAAGATTGACAACGGTAGAACTTAACTGCGAGAACAACATGCTGCCCAACGATGGTGATCGTGGACATCCTGCTGGTAATCGCAACCCAAACCCACCAAATAGGCAACCAGCCTATGAGGAAAATGTCGGTTTTGGTAACAACCGAGTTGTACAGGTGTTTGGAGATAATTGAGGTCGATGGGAAATTGATGATTCCAGGGATTTTCGTATCAAGATTAACCTACCCACCTTTCAAGGTCATCTTTGTATTGAAGAATTCTTGGACCGGATTAGTGAAGTTGAACGTTTCTTTGACTATATGAAAATCCAGGAGGAGAAGCAAGTCAAACTCGTGGCTTATAAGTTGAAAGGCGGCGCATCAGCATGGTAGGATCAAGTGCAAACTACCCACGCACGTGAGGGTAAAGATCCGGTACGTACATGGGTTAAGATGAAGAAGTTGATGAAAGCTCGATTTTTACCCCCTGATTACAAACAAGTTCTTTATCAGAAATATCAGTCCTGCACGCAAGGAAGTAAAACGATTGTTGAATATACTAAAGAATTTTATCAGTTGTCATCTCGTAACAACCCTGGTGGAACCCGAATTTAGCATGGTGGCCCGTTTCAAAGGCGAGTTATGATAGGATATTGAAGAGAGAGTGGCGCTGCAACCACTATTCAAACTTCAGAGATTGTCACGGTAGCAGAGAGAGCAGAATCGTTATTGGAGAAGTCGAAAAATCGATCTCATGGTTCATATAATACCCCACGTCCCACACATGACATGAGTAAATAGACCGCGATAGCCCCTGTTCCAATGACATGGCGAGGCATTAGAGATGGTCCAACAAAGGCCAAACCCGTAGCACCCCTAGGCCCTGCTAGAAGGGGAGCCCTAGCTGTGAGAGAAAATCTCTATGCACACCCAAGTATGGGCAAGTGTTTTCAATGTGGAGAACCTGGCCATAAATCCAACAATTGCCCTAAGCGACCGACAATAAATCTGGTTGAGCATAAAGAAGGCGAGGGTGAGAAAGGCAAGTTCCTTACCTTTGAAGAGGTGACTGAAAGAGACAATGGCGAGTTGTTGTCCCACTCTTTAGTCGTGAGGAGGTTGATATTCACGCCAAAGAAGGAGGAGCACCGGCAAAGTCATAGTGTGTTCCGTACACGTTGCACTGTCAACCATAAGGTATGTGACGTTATTATTGATAGTGGCAATAGTGAGAACATTGTTTCCTTAACAATGGTTCGAAAATTGGGGCTTAAAACAGAGAAACATTTCCATCCATACAAAATTGGATGTATAAAGAAAGGCTCAGAAACACGAGTAACTGAAACCTGCACAGTTCCATTCTCAATTGGGAAAGCATATGCAGAGGAGGTGTGTCGTGATGTAGTCGACACGGATGCATGCTATAGCATATTGGGTACACCATGGCAATTTGATGTCGATGCCACTCACCGTGGTAGAGACAATGTGTATATTCTATACAAGAATGGTCAGAAGATTGTGGGTCCGCTGAAAGAAGCCGAATTTTCTAAAGGAAATTTAGGGCGAAGTAACAACTGCACCTAAAATCTTTGCTTTTATGTGCAAGGGGGAAGTAGTTGAACAACCTCCTTTTACAGTACCAGCAATAGTGCAGCCATTACTGCAGGAGTTTAGTGAGTTGGTGCCTCCCTCCCATGAGGGACATTCAGCACCACATTGACTCGGTGCCCGGGGTGAGCCTTCCAAATCTACCACATTACCGGATGAATCCCAACGAGAGTCAAATCTTACAAGAGCAAGTGGAAGAGTTACTACACAAAGGGTTGATTCGGGAGAGCATGAGCATATGTGATGTTTCGGCCTTGCTAGTATCGTAGAAAGATGGCAGTCGGAGAATGTGCATCGACAGTCGTACAATTAACAGAATCACTATCAAGTACAAATTTCCCATTCCACGGCTGGACGATATACTGGTTATGTTGGCGGGATCAAAAGTCTTCACCAAAGTGGACCTCAAGAGCCGATATCATCAGATCAGAATCCGCCCAGGGGATGAGTGGAAAATGGCGTTCAATACAAAAGAAGGACTGTACGAGTGGTTAGTCATGCCATTCGGATTATCCAACGCGCAAGTTCTTTTATGCGGTTGATGAATCAAGTATTCAAACCATTTATTGG